GGGGGGGGGGGTGGGTGGGTCGAGTTCAATTTCTACAAACAATTTCCTCTTCCTCTAACTATTGAATTAAACCAAAATTCAAACCATAAGATGGCAAAAACTTCCCGAACACCACCAAGGAACCAATCAGAGATACAAAAGCAAGCTTCTGACTGATGACGCATTGGAAGCACCAATACAGATAATAACAACAATCTCTGTTCCAACATTCAGTAAGAGGCAGATGTGATTAGAAAGTTTGAGCAAGAGATGAAAAGCAATAATTGCAACCTTTCTCGCTATCTTTTTAACAACAGCCTCGCTAAAGTGTGGCAGCTGCAAAAATGGTGCATACCCTTCACTGGATGCACCTGCTGCCTTCCTTGCACTGAGAGGTACTGCCTGAATCAATAACAGTAAAGTGCGTTAGAAATGAGAGTTGGAAAGAAAACCAATGCCAGCAATGTAAGTAAATGAATTTGAGTAGTTCATTGGACTTCCTAGGTCCTAAACTTTTTAAATAGGGATGGAAACAGCCTCCGACTCCCAAACTAATAGCTGTCAGAAGTCCAAATTTTGTGTATAAAATCCTCATCGAAACAACTGAGAAATAAAATGAATGCTGACAAGAAATTTATCTTATTATCTTAATGCATGAACCTCAACAATATTTGACGCTAAACAAGAATAAGCAATGATGCCCATATGAATATGTATCCATAATTATGTCTTCAGATAATATGATTGAATACTTTAAGCAGATACAAACATAGAGCCAGAAGAGGATGATTGCAGTCAAAATCATGGTTAAGGTACACAAGATGATATCCCACAAGTTATCACGAAATTAAGTTACTTTTCTTGCATTCTTCTGGAATAGGGAAAAAGAGAAGAAAATGAAAATATGCTGATAAGACGGATAAGCACAGTTGCACATAATAGATGTAGAAACTAGTGATAATCTTTCAGAAGAGTACTGGCTCTCTAGAAAAACTAACCTGAACAATACTCTGAGACAGTTCCACCACTCCTATTGCAGGTCTTAGCCATCCATGCCCCACTGGAGGACGTGGAATAATAGCCATCTGCATGCAACAACACGAACTCCCTCAATTACCATAGCAACTCATATTATGTTAAGCAACAAAAAAAAACATGACATATGGACTTGATACAGATTAAGAGAACACAGCACAAGAAGAATGAAAAGCTGAACAGTCTTATCCCTAGGTTATATAACGCCATTGCCGCTCCCCTCTCCCATGCACAGCTCAAAGAAAAACATAATAAATTGGAAGTCTCTGAATAATCCAACACCAAGCCACGGTTTAAACCATTCAAGGGTCATTGCTTGCGTGTACTTAATGACCTAGACATTATGTATTGAGTATTGACACATCTTCACAATTTTAGAATGTGCCTACTTTTTTTGACATAGTAGTGCATTATTCTCATTCCCCTCCCTCCGTCTTCTTTCTCCTATTTCTTACTATATCTGTTATTTTATTTGTAGTTAATTATGCTCCAGACATTTGTTGATTTATTATGGTTACTTCATACAGTAACTAACTAGAGTAATACTGAAATGAATCAAGTTAACCCTAAAACCCAGTGTAGATGTTACCAAATTTGAAAGGGCTTCAAGAATATGTCCAATAATCCCCGAACTACAAGTCCATTTTATGATGTTGAGGAAGTGAATTTCTTTTACAAGTGATGCTGAAGAAGTCAATTAATTCCCATGATTGAAGTTAAATCCAATTTAATTCAGGACTAGACTTAGATATTAGAATTAGCAATTGGTTTCGTATTATACTAGTGGTGGCAAATGAGCGAGTTGAAAATTGGTTGAGAAAAAACAGGTCATAATCCAACATGCCCATTCTTAGGCGGGTAAAAAATGGGATCTTATTTTGGTTCAAACAGATGAGTTTGATCCATTTTTTATTTTTATTTTTATGACAAGGGAAACCCGCAGCCGCTACCCTTTGGGTGCGCACAGGGTAAAACCCCCGCTCCTATGCAATAGCTCGCAAACCACATAGGAGAGGTAACCCGCACTAGGCAAACCTGGTGCGACGAGCTCGACCCAGAAGGCAAACCCCTTGCTTTCGCTGGCAAGGGGTTTCGAACTTGAGACCTCCAACATGGAAGTCCCAAGCTCAAACCACGGGGGGGTTATGGAAACTTCTATAAAATTTTATATATTATCAAACGTGAAACTAAGCATTACTCTTGTTAATACTTAATAGAGATATTTTGATAACACCATTGAATCAGTGGATCTATAAAGAGGTAGGTTAGTTACAAACTTCTTAATTTGATGCGAGGAAAAACTCTTGGATTAATTCATACATTTGGTCTTCAATAATAGATACTTCTATGTGATATATCGTTAACTCTATCACATAGGAAGCTTATTTAAGATCATAAATACCTTGGTACACAATCTCGTAGCTATCTTTTTAAGTTTTTTCCTTTCTAGTCAGACAAAGTTCTTTTGTTTAAACTATCTCACAATATATTTCTATAGAACACCATTGATGTTGTATAGCGATATATTCTAGTTATTTCCGTACAATTATATATGTTTTCAAATTAACTTCTCATTTTTCGCAATCCTACAGCTGAAACAAAAATGCATTAAAACCGAATCTGCAGAAGAAATGACAGCAATCTGGTTACCAACTCGTTCCTGCTGCTCCTACAAGTCAAGAAAGTACTGCCAGATGCCCCAAGAAAGAAAAAAAAAATCACTGAGTTTAGTTCGAACTGGAAGAAGCCTTTTCCGTGTGATAGAAATGCATTATATATATAAATATATATGTGTCTTTGCTAACTAGTTAATACCACGAACCTCTTCTTTGGGTAAGATCAGTCGGCTATACCATGAACATTTAGATCAATAGCCATTTTAAAGATAATAACATAATGGTATTCCCCTTTAACCCTTTTTCTAAAACAGCTCGTCATCCTACATATATTTCCCACCTTGTTAGTGAAAATTTTCCTTTTCTAATGAGTCAGTTACCACCTATACCATGCAAGCAGAAATGAAAAGCAGCACTACTAGTAACCTTATCAAAAAGAAAACAAGCACTAACAGTAGTAATAGGACTACAAATAGAAAGAATGGTGATACCTTCATCAATTCTTCCAGAAGCCGAGGTGCAAGTTCAAGCACACGTCTGAAATCATGCTGTAAAGTTGGAGACAGGGCTGCCGTCTCACGTGTCAATTGGGTTTGAAGCAACAATTCAGTCTGCAAGCAGAAAAGTACTTCTAGCTATATTCTCTTTTTCAAAAAAAAAAGAAAAAAAAAAAGAGGACAGTTTTGACGAGGCTTTTTGACCTTGGAAAAAGAAGAGAGACCACTCATACCTTTACTAAAGCAGGATGCTGCTTCCAAAACTTGGCCTGTTCTTGCCGAATATTCTTAAGATCCAGATTTAGCTCACTTCTAACCAAGACAAACAGTCTCTGCAGAGGTTCTTCGTCAGACCGATGAACAGGAATATCCATGAATTCAGAAGCCTTAATGAAAACATCCATGACCTTGCTGCATCATTGAAGCAACATTACAAGAGACATAATGGAGTAAATAAAGGCAACATCATCCAAGAAAGCGACGACTACCACATAGTGGAAGGGGGGAGAGAATTATTTGATTCAAGACGATAAACTAGAAACCAAAACATGGCTATGCAACTATTACATTTCGACAACATTGTTTTGAGAAAAGGGTAACCTTGTATTCACACCAAAAGATTCATCATCCAAAAAATGATGAATTGGAAACTTACATCCCACATAGGGTATTCTTTACAAGTTTCCTATAAAATCAACTAATTCTATTATCTCCCCTATCAGATTTTGTTTACACCAAAAAAACAAAAGGCTTATACAATTCATTCTAATTTTCTGTAAGTTAGTTTTTTGTCCATCAAAGCACCTTGAGTTCCTTGTGGTTTATACATTTCGACAACATTTCAACCAGCAAATGTGATTTTCAATCTTATGAAGCAATCTACAAACTTAAATGTGTATATCCTTAAGTAGAAAGCAAAATAGACTATTTCTCTCACATACCTTGGAGCTAAAGAAGGTTTCATTAAGTGGTAATATGCGGCTAATGTTGAGTGCATGACATAGTTTCCAGTATACTTTGACGACCTAGACAAGTATATAACAGAAACTGTCAAGGGCAGAATTATACAGACTCCAACAATTCCAAGCAACAGTATTCCTTCAGATGCTCCATCAATGTTTAGAAGGAACTGCGGGAGGGCAATGCCCATTTGAAGCCCCTGCAGGAAACACAAAAAAGAGAATTATTTTTTATTAAAAATGAGTACATTCCTCACAAATGAAAAGATCATGTCTGGGACAAAAAGCACTGTGGCATTTCCATGTCCTCCTATCCCCCACATCCACATGACGATGATCACGTGCGGACCCACATAGACCCTTGTGGGTGCTCGAGCACCCATTGAACCCGACATGAAATATATATGCGTATATAAAAAATACTATGAAACCTAGATAATTAATTAGTAAGCACTCAGAAATAACTGTTGGATGTGCCTCTTTGGTTAGCAGCCAGGTGCTGAAGAAGCAGTACCACAGGTCATGTGATCGATTCTCCAGAAGTAGATCTTTTTCTATTGCAATTTTCTTCCCCTAATTCTAGATTTCTAGTTCCTTTTTGCTGACTTATCAAAGAAAGAGAAAAATTGGCATTCAAAAGACTTCAAATACCTTCTCAAGACTTGAACAGTTTCTAAAACAATATTTGCAACTTAGAAGTTCAGAATTAGCAAGAATAGTCTTATTTATTTTAATTTCAAAATATGGAAAAATCTTTGAGTACAATCGTAATTTGTGCCGAAAATTCTGCCACCGTGGTTTGTAGCCACATACTCTTTTAACTTTTTGAACTACATGTTCCACCCTCTCTCCAAGGAATTGCAAATTTTCTCATCCAAACAACATAATAAATGACTTTTATACATTTCTAAAGTTGTTTAATTCACTATGTAAGGAGTAAGATATTCGCAAGAGTAAGCGATGTTATTATTACGCATTTTAATTTCAAACTACGAAAAGTCATAGAGTACAATTTGTGACTTGATGTATTCTTTTGTGATGGTAATATTAAACATAACTTTCTCATTTTTTCACGATTGCGTTCAAATAGTTCTTGCACTTATACTAAGTGAATGGTAATGATTTTATGTTTAAAAAAGTGAAGCACCCACGACCTTCAGATCTTGGATCCACCACTGACGATGATTGATGTGGAATTACCTGCCGTCCATCGGGATGGCCATATTTTACAAAATTTTCCCTAGATATTGGATCCGTTAGAGCCTGATAAGCCTTTGAGATGAATTCAACAAAGTATGAGTGTGCCTCTGCAATAAAAGAGATAAATAGTCATGGCCAAGTGGCTGCAAATATAGCTCATCACAGTAATACCTAGATGTGAACACATGATAGCTCTGTGTTCAACCTGGATCTGGATTTTTATCGGGATGATACTGAATGGAAAGTCTCCGATACGCCTTCTTTATTTCAGAGTCAGAAGCTCCATATTCCAGTCCAAGGATACTGAATGGCTCGAATATTTGGACCTACAGAATAAAATGTTTAAACTATGTACAAATGGAAATCCAAGAGGCCAGTGTGAAGGTTGACAAAGATGGTGCTTATAATAATGCTTTCTTAAGACCAATGGAACTTGAACTTTTATATATATGACCATGAGAATTTGACATCAGTAAAAGAATACCTCATTGCTTGTGTAAGTAAAACATTTATGATGTGTGAATTCAAAGACTTAACAAATATGACCTACGGAGACAAACACTTAGAAATTTAAGAACATAAGTGTTGTACTATTGAAGACAGCACTAGATTTAAGAGCATGCAAACAATCATTTATAAAATAAAACCAAATTGAATCCTATCCAAAGGTAGCTTAAAAGCACAAGAACACCTAAACTCTGATATATTTGCACATATAAACGAAAAAACCTATCGCATTTTCTGCAACTATTAGTACTAATAGTATCATTTTTCAACTTAAGGAGTTCTTGGAAAGAGGTTGCCACACGCTTGCATTACCAACAAAAATATGGCTATCAAGTTTAAGAAGAAGAACCAGACAAACAGCAATTACCTCAGTGCTGATCTGCTTGATGTAATAAACTAGAACAGCCATGACGACCCACAGAAGTACGAGGGTCAGATTACTGTATGTTGAGAAGTTTGAAATCTGAAAATCAGAAGTAAAATTATATAAATCCGATTACAGAGTTTAACTTTAATATTAAAACCCAGAAACTAGGTTATACAGAAACTTGCCCGCCTGAATATGGATTTGTGATACTTCCCGGACCGAACGCAGACCGAACACTGGCAGTTGATTTTGGCAGCCTTTTTCTTGAAAGCACCAAATAAATTGACTATAGTGTAAGGAACTAATGGCAAAGCCATTAAAGTCAAGACAAAGATGGGAAAAAGTGCGCTGTTCTCTTCAGAAGCCCCCATATTGAATTTTTCTTAGAATCTAGCAGAGACACTCCTGAAATGATGATTCTTATTAGAGTACAATACATCCAAAAAGGGCTCAAACCAGCCTTAATACATAATTTCAAAAAATTATATACTTCGAACCAAACTTTCTCAAACTCTGCCTTATATCATGACAAGTTCAGCTAAGCTGAACTAAGCTTGATATACTACTGAAATGCTTGTTTCCATTGAGCATAACTCAACAAATATAAGTTCATGACAGCCTCCAATTCAAGGACAAAACAGTGGTTCAAAACTGCAGAACCAAACATTAACTACAAAAATGTACATATTGGTTCAACTTCAAGTATTTTAATCATGAGAAATTCAGCTAAGCAGAACTACGCTGAGTGCAATTCTGATCCATCATAAACAAGCTAGAAAGATGATAACAAATTGCAGAAGTTCCCTATCTACTTCCAATAAATTGTTTGTTCTAAGCACCCAAGGGTGTGACCTAGTGGTCAATGAGCTGGGTTGAGAACTATGAGGTCTCAAGTTCAGACAAAAAATACCAAGTGACTTCTTTTCGCCTGTCTTAGCTTTGGTTAGACAAAGTTAACTGATACTTATTGTTGGTAAGAGGTGGTAGATACACCATGGAATTAACCTAGGTGCCCAGAAGCTGGCCAGACACCACCGTTACCAAAGAATTAAATAAATTGTCTATTCGAACTTTATGGACACTTATTTACCATTCACAGAATAAGCTAAGAAAAAAGTACTCCAAGAACTCCTGAATATGATGATCCCGATTCATAGAAAAATGCTCACATATCCTCCAATTCAACGGCAAAAACTATTATTCAAATTTAACCTAAAGTCCTAACTTGAACAGAAATTTATATATTCACGCCTACTTACGTTTCGAACTTCATCAATCCTACTACACCATGTTAAGAACGAAAAATAGCTCGATATTGAAGATCAATTCATCAGTTCACAGAGACATTCGATATTGTAATATACATTACGAAAAAAAAATATCAGCTATTTGTTTGACCTAGCAAACTGCATCAAGATAGAAATGAAAGGCTGCTACTATTTGTTTGCCCTACCAAAACTGCATCATATATAAACGGAAACGAAGGAATTGACTCACCGTGAATGCAGATCGCCGATGTTGTAAGTCGACGGAAGTTCGCCGGAGATAATCCCACGGTCGCCGGAGTAGCGTAAAACCGTGAAGCAGCTACCGGGCCGATTTAGGCGGCTTAAAATTGAGCAAATTTAGATCGGCTCCAGTTTGCTTTCAACTGAAGTACTCCGTATATCAAATTTTGTGTTATTTGCTATTATAACCTCAGAGTTACCTTTATTGTCCAATTTATCTCAAATTATTCCTTATATATGTTCTGACCCCAAAGCTATAACTATTACTCACTTAATTAGTCACGACTCACGTGTTATGTTAAACTTATATTATTACTTTATTTTAGTAATAACATCGACCTCTTATGACCACTTATAATTCGAGTAGAAAAAATAGGTATTTTCACATTAAATATATATTTTTTAGATTTCTTATGTAGAAAAAAAAAATACAAAATAGACCTACGATTTAAAATAAATTACTAAATTAATTGACCCTATAAAAGGTCAAATTGCGAATTCTTTTTCTTCTTTTTTGCATCAAAAGTAAGAAACACGTATTTTAATTAATTTAAAATTAAATATATAGAGTCATATATTACAGGAATTAAAATTAAATAATTAAAGGACCAAAGATGTTAGTATCTCCAAAGTTGTTACATGTAATGCAATTCTTTTGGAACATTAAAGTTTGTTAACTTTGACCAGTAGAATAAAAGCCTCATTCAATTGGTATACTGACTTCATCAGACCAATTACATCCTGCCACATCAACTATTTGAGGTGGCCTATTTAATTTCTGTTATAGACAAAACTTGAAATTAGTAAAGTTATTGGTAATTAATGGTAAATTCTTTTTTTTTTAAATACTCCATATAATAGTACTGGTCACTGGTCCCCAATTACTTGTTCAATTTTCCTTTTTTACTTGTTCAGACAAATTAATAAAGGACACTTTTATACCTATTATACCCTCAATTAATTAATTTTGAAAAAGATTAAACTTTTTGAGAATCTTAAATTTTTAATTCATCTACTCCATAATTTATAGGGGTAAAATGGTAAACTTACTATGTCAATCATTGTTTTCTTAATAGGTGTGCCGACTCAAAAGTGGACAAGTAATTAGGAACAGAGAGAGTGGTATTTAGAAAATTTGTGGGAACCATTTTCGGGACAATTATTTAGTAAATAATTAGCTTTTTATTTCAGTGGTTACTTATGAACTATTTAGATTACGATCTAAAAAAAACTTATATAATTTGAAATTTTATGAGAAAACTATATGGGAACGGTTCAGGACTATTTTATCCTTGATTATTTCGATTTGAAATTTTTGAGAATAAAAAAATATAATAAGGATATTATCACATTTAGAATTGATTTTTATAATGTGCAAATTCATATTTAATCAATCAAAAACATCAAATAGGTAAATTAAAAATGTTTGTTGGGATTCAACCTATATGATCAAATTGTTCCTTTTATTACCCTTATAAAAAATCCTCACATTTAACTCAAATGATATTGAAGTAATTTGCATATTATAACACGGTCGATGCATAAGAACTATCACATAAAGGACCATGTATTTTGTTTTCATGATTTAGATATCTTATACTAAAATATCGATAACTTTGTATAAATATAATGTATTTGTGTATATTAAAGTATAAATTTTAGGAATCATATAGTTTTAATATGAAATTACAATCTATCCCTATTTAGTTTGTAATTACATTAATCTCTGAAAAAGTAAAACAAACCGGATACATAATATGCAACTCGGATACATTAAAAACTAACTCGGATACATTATAAAATAAACCGGATACATAATATGTAGCTCGGATACATTAAAAACTAGCTTGGATACATAATAAATAATTTAGAATTAGGAGAGAAATAAGGAATTTTAGGGATTTTTATTTAGAAATAGAAGGGAATATTAGAAATAAGAGAAACATAATTTTTCCTATTAAATAAGGTACAAAAGGAGAATAAATTAATGGAAAACTGAACTCAAAAACATTTTTCAATAAAAATTAAGGATTAATTACAGAAATCCCACATTTTAGTTTACTTATTACCATTATCCCCTATAAGTTTTACAAATCTCCAAAATCCCTCATTTTCTACGCATCAGATTAGTATATCTCGCGCATCAGATTAGTGTATCATGTATAAAAATGTAATGTATCTTACTTAACGATTAATGTATCTCGCGCATCAGATTAATGTATCAGCGCTTATATTATTGTATCCGTTTGAGAAATTTCTATAATTATAAATTTTTAAGGGATAGATTGTAATTTTACCTTAAAAGTATGTGATTTTTATAATTTGTTCATAAATTAATGGACCAACTCAACTAGCACGTTTTAAAAATAGGCCCAACTCAATAACATTTTTCAAGTTTCATACAATTTTAATTAAAGTTTAAAAGTTTCTGACTTAAACCCTAAATATGAATTTGTCTTTGATGTAGGGAATGTTTTACCTATGAAGTGTTGTTTTTACGTGAATATAAATAAGTCGAATCCGAAAAAAGTATCAAATATCGTATAAAAGAACAACCAATATATGCATGTCAACTTGATCAATAAACATGAACACCATAGTAGGGAATGTAAGTGTAAGACATTAAAATTTTGTAAGACTCTACAAGACGCGTTCAAATTTAGTTGGGAGTTTACAAAATGTAATCAATTACAATTCTTGGAGGCTACTCTATTCTAACCCTTAGCTTATGCTTGTATTATAAAAGGGTATTATATATTATATTGAGGATATTCACAAAGAGATAAAAAAAATGTGCATATAATCTTAGTTGAATTATGAAGATCAAGTCCAAATCATACTAGTTTGAGAAATATGTCAATAACATCCCTCGAATCATAGAGAAATGTTAAGAGAAAAGAATCAAGGGAGGGAATAAACAGATTTGTACTCATATTGTTCTATCAATAATATTCTTGATGAATAAAATTGTTCTTCTTAATTGTTGTATGATTACAATATATTTTCATACTTGAGGAAAATTATTGCAAACAACAAAAACTCAAAAAGGTTAGTGTATGTAATTAAGTATAAAAATAGTTAAAGAGTTCCTTTTTCTTCAATTACCCATTGAGGCCTGAATTATGTTGTATTATTTGAGCAAAACATATATGAACATTTAGATCTCTAAGGAGCACTTTTAGTGATGAGAAAAAAAAAATGAAACAATTGTAAGTAGTAAAAACATAAATAGAGGGAAAACTTCGATTTTCATTTATTGACGAGATAATTATTATTTTTAATTTGTACCTTGGCATCAGTATTTTTAGATTAACTCAGTTCCCTTATGCATGGCTGAGTTGATAATTTTTTTGCAGGAGAAAGTCAAAATGTAGTTATCTTTTTCGTTGCTTCGATTGGTGCATTCCATTATCTCCATTAGGGTTGCATGATTATGGTTATAAAATCAAATCGAACCGTAATCTGAACCAAATCAATTAAAAAATTGATATTTGGTTTGATTTGGTTAGGTTTGTTTTTAAATTTTGAAAAGCGATATTATTTGGTTTGGTTTTGGTTTTACTAAAAATTAACCGCAAAAATAACCAAACCGAATCGAGAAGTTTATATATATAAATTTTATACTTATTTATAAATAAAATATAAGTATTTTCACAAATTTTAGTTAACTTAATTCTTTAATTTTATTATTTTTTGAAGCCCAACACTTAAATTTTAGCCCAACTATTAAAACCTTAAGTCTAAATCTCTCAATATTCATTACTTTAAAGATCACACTTTCTCTGTTCTTTATAGAATTTTCTAATGCAACATTGAATAATTTAAAGTTCAAGCTAAAGAAGATGGTAATTGATTAGTTTTGACTATGAAATATTGGTTGTTGTTTTTTTGAGAAGTAATTTCTCAATATTTTAAGGTGTAATTTTATTGAAAACTCTATTGATAAAATGTTGAGATCTCCAAAATATTGAACCAACTTTATGCGATAGACAATGAGTTTTTTTAGTTTCTGAAACTTGGTACATTGGATGAATCACTTTGTTCGTGTAATAGCTTATTTGTGAATTATTCATGTATTAAGTGTTTATGTCTATCGAGATGTGTATGTCCTCAACAAACTTATTACTTTCGAACCGAAAAAACCTAACCAAATCGACGATAACCAAACCGACGGTTATTTTTTTGGTTTGGTTTTAAAAATTTAAAAACCGATTTAAATTGATTTGGTTTTGATTTTAACTAATAACCGATCCAAACCGAACCATGAATACCCCTACTCTCCATGTTATCATATCATATATAAAAAAAGAGTGCCTAACCTCGACTTACTCGTACTAAATGATAATTATATTAAATTGATGAATATATGACATTTATAAATATATAGACATTTATTATTTAATCATGAATAATATTACTTTTTTACTTCACTAAATTATTTCACCAGAATAAATTTGATTTAATTCAGATAAACGAGATTGGTAATTACCCTATCAAAAATTTGGAATTAGTGAATGAAATTTTGATCCAATAGCAAAGCGAAAGATAAAACTTTTCAACTCATTCGAGTGGCACTTAAAATCAGGATATTATTGGTATCTTTTCAATATATAAGTATATGATTGACAAATTAATGGAACTAAAAGAATATCCCATCAAAATGCTTTACAACAGAAACACTTTAACTTTTAGTAGACATTTTCAAACTGAAAAATAATACTTAAAAATTAAAATTGTATTTAGTTATAAATACAAAATAGAATGTTTTTTTAATTGTGAATAATTTAAAGTGAAAACACTATTTTTGACATTTTAAAATTTTTTGAATTCAAAGCTTTAACTACAAATTTTGAATTTTGAATATTATGCAACTCAAATATGAATATTAGTTTGTGATTCCAATAGATATATTGTATATAAATGAAAAAAATGAATAATGCCACAAATTTTACTAATGATCAAGATGAGTGGTAAATGGTAAGTAACCTCCACCCTCAATTGAAGGTGACTACTCTCCAAAGTAAAACAGAAAAATGGTCCAAATCCGTATTAATCCAACTTCAAAATGGTTAACCCGACATTGAATACCTCAACCTTCAGATTCCAACAAACACACAATAACATTCGGTGATTTCTTTCAAGTGTTTGAGTTTTGATGC